AGGGGAGACGAGCAGGCTCTGATAGGCTCATGGCTGGGTGCTAAGGGGAGATGAGCAGGCTCTGATAGGCTCATAGTTGGGTGCTAAGGGGAGATGAGCAGGCTCTGATAGGCTCATGGCCGGGTAGTGAAGGGAGACGAGCAGGCTCTGATAGGCTCATGGCTGGGTGCTGAGGGGAGATTAGCAGGCTCTGATAGGTTCATGGCTGGGTGCTAAGGGGAGATGAGCAGGCTCTGATAGGCTCATAGTTGGGTGCTAAGGGGAGACGAGCAGGCTCTGATAGGCTCATGGCTGGGTGCTAGGGGGAGACGAGCAGACTCTGATAGGCTCATGGCTGGGTGCTGAGGGGAGATTAGCAGGCTCTGATAGGTTCATGGCTGGGTGCTAAGGGCAGATGAGCAGGCTCAGTCTGGCACAGTCCCTCAGCAGATAGTACCACAGCCTCACAGGTTATCCCATGTTTAGGTTCTCTCTGGAGAACCCGGTTTCATCCCAGAAAAACAAAAAAAAACATGTAGCTACACATACTGACATCTTTATATCACTTGCATTTGTGCAAGGTGGTGCTTTAGGTGAATTGATACGTCTAAATTGCCAGTGGCGTGCCCTACAGTGGCGTGCCCTACAGTGGCGTGCCCTACAGTGGCGTGCCCTACAGTGGCGTGCCCTACAGTGGCTGGCATTCCGTCCAAGGTGTCCCCTGCTTTGTGCCACCTGGAATAGACTCCAGCCTCAGCACAACCCTGAATCGAAAAACAGATGATGATCTGCAAGCATATACGATAGAGAGGAATTCTGTACCTAAGCCAATTAGGAAAGCCAATCAATATTGCAAGAACAAGGGGATTATGGGGAGGATATCAAAACATACTGGACCGCTTTGCGAAGCACAGTTGAGGAGGTGCATCTGAGCTGAAGCATAGAGCCAGCCACCTGCAAGACATCTGCCGTTCTGGGGAATATGATGTTCTTTACTGCCCCTTGGTGGGCAAAAAGAGGCATTGCAGGTAGGGCGTTTGATGTTCAGAGCCAGTCTGAAGTGGGATATTGCCGTAATGCCCTCCTGCATCCGCGCCGTGTGACACAAGTGAATCAAATCAGATCAGAGGCACCCAGTGCGCTTTTGACCTCCATAGCATCAAACGGTATTTGTTTACAACAGTGGAAGAAAATCCATATTAGATATTTCTCCAGAAATAGCATCATGATGGTAATGTGAGCCAGTTTTGAATAACCGTTTACGAAATTAAAATAATATTTAAGATATCCGACAAAATGTTTTCAGTCTGGAATCTGCCAGGGGTTCCACTTAAACTGAAGTCGCAGGTTCGAGGAATGCAGGGAATGTCCATGCTGGTGTCCCTGTGAGACAGAAGTGGCTCTTACTTACCTAGTCAGGGGGGAAGGAGGTGGCCGGGCGAGCGGACTGCAGATTTCAATCATTAATAAACAAAATAAGAACTCTGGGTGAGATTTCATTTTTATTCAGGTTAGACAGATACAGCCGGAACAGCAGTTAGTCTGGAAAACGACATTAAAAATGCACCAGTTGAACATAAATTTCAAAAGCCAGTTTTTTTTCGTTTCAATTAATTCTTATATACTACTGAATATTAATATTTGATTTTGATATTTTCTCCCAGTTCCAAAAGCTCAAAAACATAAAAAAAACATCAAAACAACATTAGTACCAGTTTCCAGTGTACCTTTTTTCAGGCTGTCCTACAGTCTTGTAAATCATTTCCATAAGACTACTTCTGTAGCTCAGTTGAGATGCACAGTGCATGCGTTTGCAGAATAAATACACCAGGACTCATTCCAGTACTGTGGTCTTGGAACAGTCTGCACTTGCCAGGCAAAGGTCTGTTTGATCCAGGGGCCGCACCTGCATGTAGGCAGTTGTGAACAAGAGTTGCGTCATCTGCCCCTGGTCCAGCGAGGTCAGGAAAGACGAGAAAAGGAGTATTTTCACGGAGGGTAGCTCTTTGAGCGCTGCAGCACACAGCTCTGTCCCACGAGATGGGGGTGATTATCCAGGGCCTGCAGCAGTACACTCTCGAGAGGACTGGGACGTGTTTGAGCTCTTGGTGGACGGACACTATCTGCACCCAGCTCCTGTGCCTCAGAACCTGGGCTCGGCGGCCCACAACCTGATAAACCAGCACCGGTTTCAGAGGCTGTATGTTTATTAAGCTCTCCTTAAATGGCCCCAGAATTTGCCACTCCCACTCAGCCATCAGTCCTCCACCCACCAGGTGGCGCTGTCTGCATCGGCGTGCAGTACGCTTACAATCCGCTGCTGAAGCATTAGCAGCTAAGGGAAGGAAGGAAAAAGAACTGTACACTGAGCTCCACAATGTTAGGTCCAAAGTAAGATAAGTCATCTGCATGGCGCTGTGGAGATATCGACGGCTGGGGCTGGAGTGGCGTGACTGGAGCGGCGTGCAGTTCAGAGAGGCCCCCTGGCCCCCCTGGCCTGCTTCCAGAAGCCCTACCTGCCGAAGATTTGGTCATACTCCTGCAGGATCAGTTCCACGATCTGGTTCTGGTAAACCATGTGCACGGCCATGTTGCTGGTCTCTACTTCGGGCCTCAGCAAGGTGGGGCCGAACACGATGGCCACGCTGTGGGAGGTCATGCGGTTCGCCTCGCCGTGCTCTATCACTCTGCGTGGGGGGGAGGGAGGGGGGGGGAGACAGGGTCATCCTCTACGCAGACACCAGCTCCTCAGAAACACACCTCGCGCACAGGAGGGACCCGAATTTAGCCTCACTGGCCAATGACCGAGAGGTCAAAGGGCAGCGTCAGCATGGTGCTAACAGAGAACAGAGATGCCTGAGTGTGAGTGAGAGCGAGAGGTTAATCTGTGTGTGATGGGGGGGAGGGGGGTGGTCAGGAAAAGCCCAAACAGGAACAGGAACCTTTGTATCAACATGTGGGCTTTTCTGCAGCACTGCATTCCAGCCGCGGGCACTGAAGATTACAGAGCAGACCCCTGGCTTTTTAGCTGGTTATCAGCGAACCGGACTGGCAGTCGAAGCCATAACAAGGGAGACCCTCAAATGCACGCAGCAGGCATGTGAGTGCAAGCAAAACAGGAAGAACAAAAGGTCAGGACCAAGAGTCTAACCCTGGTTGAGTGGAATCCCCCAGAATGCAATGCAGCCTCATTAGCATACATGGCCTTGAGGTTATATTACAGAATACTCATACTCTGCTGTCAGACTCACTTCCTGAGATGCTTGAAGAGGACCTGCATGGTGTCCTGGTTGGGTTTCGGCATCTGCTTGATTAAATCCCTAATCAAAACCGGCCGCTGCTTGTAGTCCGGAGATTCTGGGATGTTGAGAGAAATGGGACATGGTATAATCCTGTCATGGGCTGGCTTTAAACTGCTTACTGCACACAACACAGATGCGTGTTTATCACTTATAACTTTAGCTCCACCATGTGGACTATAATAAAACAGCATCCTTTACACTGCCAGATCAATATAACATATAAAGGTCTGTGGATGGAGGAGACATGCACTGATATTAACACAGGGCACTTACTGATGGCGTTAACAAAGTCATTGAACAGGCCGTAGGTGAACAGCGGTTCTGCAAGCTCCCGGAAAAACATCTTCAGGGCGCCCGTCGTGACATGTATGTCCTCCCACTTGCTGCTCTCCAGATCCACCTTCTCGTCTGAGCAGGAAATGATCACACGCGGTCCATCAGCTGGGATCCTGCAGAGCGCACTCGCACGGGCCTGACCGCCGGGGCGGAAACGTACCGTGATTGACCGCGAACCTCAGCTTCTGTATGACTGACAGGTTCCCGCTGACCCGGTACAATCCATCCATGTCCAGGCCTGCGGGAAGGAGAGGAAGTTCTCAGTGCGCTGAACTGCTAAAACGCGGCCCAAACCCGGACAGGGCCCGGTTCTGCCGTATAAACGAGGGTGTCCCCGGATGCAGTGGTAGCTTGCCGTTCTTCTCCACGTGCTCGATGCACATCCGGACGAAACGGGGCACGGTCGAGTTCTCCCGGTGACAGAGGCTGGTCAGGCTGCAGCCGAACACCTGGTCTGAACGAGGGGAAGGGGGTGTCAACACTCAGTACCACATGGTCTCAAGTTAAGTAAACTACACTGAATTCTGCTTGTTTTTAATCGGTGATCAATGATTGAAAAAGCAACATTGGTTTAAGCCTTTAAAAAACAAACAGCCAGTCTGGGAATTACAATACAGCTCGTCAGTTATTGTGTCCTGGGCCTGAATGGCAAATTAAAAAAAAGAGTGATACACTCATCATTACCTAGCGTTTTAAAATTTAAGAGGGAAAAGAACCTGAAAAAGCCCAGGCAGCAGAACCTGGTTTCAGTTCCTGAATTTACCAGCATGAGTTACCGTGAAATAATAATCCAAATCCTCAAAACTTCCACAATCACTCAAACTGTCACATTTCTTGCACTGAACCCCCATATAGGGGGGTGGGTTATCGGGGCGGGGTGGGGGGAGCCAGGCGGCCTCCCAACCTTTGATGTAGCCCTTGTCCCGGACGGACTGCAGCGTGGGTCGACGTGTCAGGAACTTCTTCAGCTTCACCTTGGTCTTCTTGTCCTCCGTCGATTCCATGCTGACGGAGGTCTTCACGGCTGAAGAGCAGCAGAGGCGTCATGCCAGGTCCGGCAGCGCCACGCCACGCCACGCCAGGTCAGATTTACACACACACACAGGCTGAGTGCCACTCTCACCCCTCCCCTTCCTGGACTCTCGTTGCTCCTTGTCTTTCTCCTTCTCCTTCTCCTTCTCCGGCTTCTCTCCCATGGGTGACTCAGGAATGTCCTCCTCTATGGCTTCATCAGACTCCCAGGCCTGCGGGGACAGCAGGGTGGAATTAAATTAACCTCCAGCAAAATGAGCAGGTGATCTTCTGTGCTTGGATGCCAGGCAGACTCACGTGGGCACTGATGGTCTCCGACAGGGCCTTGTACCACTCGTTGATGGAAGTCTCGTGCTCCAGCTGGATGAGCAGCTCTGTGCCCTGCCGAGTCTTCAGCTGTCGGAGCACAGACACGTGAGCCGGGCGTAACTCACCGGTTATGTGGGATCGATGGCGCAATGGGTTAAGATTTATGAAACCAGCAATGGCAGGCCAACAATGCAGAGGAACCAGGGGGTGCAATAAATAAAACTTTAATGAATTAGCCTGTGCCAATTCATCCTACTTATCCCATTCAATATCTGTTTGTGGACAGTCTCAGTGTTAGATATAAAATTAAGAATAGACAGTCAGACAGAGGCAGATAGGCAAGGAGACAGAAACACAGAAAGAGAGAGAAAGAGAGACAGAGAGAGACAGACAGATAGACAGACAGAGAGAGAGACAGACAGACAGATAGACAGACAGAGACAGACAGACAGACAGATAGACAGAGAGAGATAGAGAGAGACAGACAGACAGACAGAGAGTCAGGCAGAGACAGGGAGGTTTACTGGCAGAGACTGATAGATAGATAACTGACAGATTAGTGANGTGGACAGTCTCAGTGTTAGATATAAAATTAAGAATAGACAGTCAGACAGAGGCAGATAGGCAAGGAGACAGAAACACAGAAAGAGAGAGAAAGACAGACAAGACAAGGAGACGGAGTAAGAGACATACACGACAAACAGACATAGAGATACAGAGAGACAGACCGATGGAGACAGAGATACACAGAGACAGATAGAGAGAGACAGACAGACAGACAGAGAGTCAGGCAGAGACAGGGAGGTTTACTGGCAGAGACTGATAGATAGATAACTGACAGATTAGTGACATGGCCTGAGCAGCAGGGTGCAAACACACACTGATATTTACATGCCTATTTATCCCTGAGGCTGTGTTAACTGTGTTAACTGTGTTAAATGTGTAGGTCTGGGTACCTCAATGACATTCTTTTTGCTGGACTTTTGCTTAGCCCATTCGATAGAGGCCCCCCTGAGGTCCACGGTAAACTCCGGTTTGGACTGGCTGCTGCCAAACTTCTGGAAGAGAGTGTCAAACGCAGGACAGTAAGTGCCGCAGCCTCACGGCCACGACTATATGTACGGCAGGTGCAGACTGCTGAGGGTGGATGGGCCGCACCCCCTGGGCCGGATCTGACCAATAGCAGGCAGAGATGCAATGGGTAGCTTGGCAGACATTTCTGAAAATCACATGGCCTTTTGGAAATGGTTTGACGATAAATTATAATAAATAATATCAAAACTAAAATGTGTAAAATAATCAGGAGGGGGACAACACAGTGGTGCAGTGGTTAGCACTGTTGCCTCGCACCTCTGGGACCAGGGTTCGAGTCTCCCTGGGTTCCGTGTGTGTGGAGTTTGCACGACAAACAGACATAGAGATGCAGAGAGTTCCTCTGGGTACTCCAGTTTCCCATAGGTGTGTGTGTGTGTGTGTGTGTGTGTGTGTGTGCCCTGGGTTGTTCCCTGCCTTGCGACTGTAACCTCCGGGATGGGATCCGGACCCCCCATGACCTTGACCAGGATAAGCAGTTTCAAAAAAATGGATGGTGGGAAGATTAAAGGTCATCTTTTATGGTGTAACAACCAGACACTGGCCTAAGTCCAATAGGTGAAAAATAACTGACCCAATAATGCTGGACGGGATCTTAAGTTAATTAATTAAGCAAATTAAATTCAGTCATACAGGAGAGGGTGGAGCCAGTGGAGACCTACCCAACTGGTCCCACCTCCTTGGCCCTTAGCAAAGAGCAGCGAGGACCCATGAAGCACTGTCCAGGATGAGGTCCAGTTCTTCCTGTACCAGAACCCAACAAAACAATGTCAGGCCCAAACGGAGAACCTCCCACAGCAGTGTCAAACAAAAGGCTTTCCTCTTCTGAACAGTGCATAACATATATAAAATATATAATAATGTAACTGATTGCTTAAAAAAAGTCATCGAGAAACAGCAGTCGGTCTGCAGGTTCCGGCTTTTCAATAAAATAAAACTGGGCTCAACACATTGGCCATTGGCAGCGTGGCAGACTGCTTGGGGAGGGTGCAGACAGGCCCGAGTGCGGAGGGCTCGCTCCTACCTGACTTTCTTTCCATTCTCCGTGATTTTGGTCACGTTCAGCACACCACACTTCTCCGATGGCTGCAGAAGTCGTTTAGGAAGCAAAAAAAAAGTGGAAGTTCCATTAGAAGGGTTAGGAGAGCGGCAGGGATGAAAAAAAGTCATGAAGGAAAAAGGACAAAGCTGGGGAGTGGAAACAGGGGGCGCTAGAGAGTGCCAGGAACCAAGGCAACTGGGGGGAGGGGGCGTTAACCAAAGAGCTGGGAAAGCACATCCTACTCCCAGGGTAGACCCATACTGATGGTGTACGCTGGGTGGCAGTCAGCCATTGGACAAGTGTGCAGAGAGTGGGAGCAGAGGATCATGGGAAAAAAGGGCCGAGCAGCAGAGAGGGCCAGAGATAGTGGGGGCGTGAGGCTTTCGGAAGGGCGGGGTGCGGTGGTACTGACAGACGGCAGTGGCCTGGGAGACAGAGGGCTCCAATCAGAATCCGGGATGCCTTTGGGGCTCGACGGGGACTCCTAGGAAGGAGAAGCAGCAAGTCAGCCTGACCGGGACGGGAAAAGGAAATCACTAATGAAAATATAGCACTAGCTCCACCCACTGACGAGTCCCGAACACCGATTCGCTGTTTAGCATAATTTCTGACCAATCACGGGATGAGCCCAGTGGTCCACTCCTGACATGCCACTAGGAGGTACGATGAGCAGCATATACACACACACACACACACACACACACACTATCCTTTTCCCATTCAATTCAGGTCTAGCTGCTGAATTGAAAGTGAGATCAGGAGCTTATTTTCCCACGCAGTTGTGCATGCCGAAGACGTGATCTGCCCGATTGGTTCCCGTGCGGGTGAGGGAGAGGTCATGGTACCAACTTGTTCCCGACACGGAAGTGAGCCGACCAGCTCTTTGAGAACCTCGGAGCGGAAACGGCTGTGCTTGGCGGGCGGCTGCAATGGAACCACAACAGTGGGAGTTTGAACGAGCCCTTGTGGGGACGGGCAACCCGTCGTGTCAGGAGAGGCGAGCGGAAAGGGAGCTGCAGACGGAGCATAACTTTGCAAGGGGGATATAAACAGGACTCCGACTGGACATGAAGACATAAAACATACAGACACAGGCTGCTACCAGCACAGGAGGGAGCTCATTTCAGCACAGAGACATTATTAAGGTTCTGCAAAATTTCCGTGCTTCACAGTCATGCCTATAGGCACAGAGTCTGGTTAGAAACGAAAATTAAATTAAGGCCACAGTATGACGGTAAATAGCTAACTGTCCACCTGTGGACCAGTCCTACAGTATCCTATAGTATCCCACAGTATTCTCTATTTTCACAGTTTCCCACAGTATCCTGAAGTATCAAACTGTACCCTGCAGTATCCTATATTATCCCACAGTATCCTATAGTATCCTGCAGTGTGCAACAGTATTGAGTATATTATCCCAGTTTCCCACAGTATGCCACAGTATCCTATAGTATCCCACAGTAAAAATACCTCTTTTTAATTATTTGTTTTTATTGTTTGTCTTTTATGTGCTAAATAAAATGTATTATTATTATTCTATAATATCCAAAGAATCCCAAAGCATCCTGCAGTATCAAACTGTACCCTGTAGTATCCTAGAGTATCCCACAGTATTCTCCTGTATCCTGCAGTATCCTATATTATCCAAGATACCTACAGTATCCTGCAGTATCCTAGATTATTCCACAGTATCCTGTGTTACCCCAGTTTCCCACAGTATCCCGCAGTATCAAAATACATCCTATGTATCCTATATTGTCCCACAGTATCCTATAGTGTCCTACAGTATCCCACAATATTCTCCTGTGTCCTGCATTATCCTATAGATTTCCAATTTCCCACAGTATCCCATATCCCCCCCACAGAATCCTACATCCCCCACAGTATCCCACAGTATCCTACATCCCCCCACAGTATCCCACAGAATCCTACATCCCCCCACAGTATCCCACAGAATCCTACATCCCCCCACAGTATCCCACAGAATCCTACATCCCCCCACAGTATCCCACAGAATTCTACATCCCCCCACAGTATCGTAAAGTGAGACAAAACTAGATGCAGCAGTGTAGAGCCTAAGAAGCACGCTATGCTGTTCCTTAACACCCCAGGCCTACAGTACAAAGCAGTCTCTCAGCCTCCAGTAGGTTCCTGCCTCCCAGGCTCTGTGACCAAACTGGTTCACATGGAACTAACAAAAAAGTATCAGACATATGAAGCAGCCAATCAGGAACTGTAAATTTGGTTCCCACGCCTTGGTACCTTGTCATTGGCCTCCAGAAT